CCCCAGGGTGCCCTGTCAGATGTGGCCCCAGGGTGCCCTGTCAGATGTGGCCCCCAGGGTGCCCTGTCAGATGTGGCCCCCAGGGTCCTTTGTTCCTTTTTTTCTGAGACTCTCCTATTATTCTCCCAGGGAGGTACGACCCGACACCCAGTACACCGGCCGCAAGCGCAGGCCCCGTTTCTGAGCCCAGGGCTGTTGCCTCAGCACAGTCACTGTCGCCGGTGGGGCCTCACCATCCGTTCCACTGGCTCTGGGGAGCTTTTCCACCGAAGTGCTGGCTTCATCAGGTGATGGTGCTGTGAAAAGTTGTAAAGTTTTCAAACTTCAAGAAAAGGTTCTGTGAACATCTTAGTTTGTTCTACAAGCAATAAACCACATTCTGTGGGGCTCTTCAGCAGTCCTGGCTCTGCGGGCCCACGCACGCGCTGAGTTCTCTGCTGGCGGGGCCGACTCAGCAGGCAGAGTGCGTCTGAAAGACTTGAAGGTTTGGAAGCACACTGATCTGTAAGGTGCACAGCGGGACAGGGCATATAGCTGAGAGGGAGGCTGGTCAGGCTTCAGTGTAGCAGAGATGCCCAGCACTGAGGCCTCTCTGTCAGGCTCGGGGGTCTCTGGTCTGATGGGACTGTCCAGCACTCAGGGCAGGCCTTGCAGTGAGCTGGGGGTGGGGGGTGGGGTGGGGGTGTTCTTGCTGGTTGAGAGGAGCTCTCATGGTTGACATGCTAGGGAAAGAGGGTGGGCCATGCTAGACAGAACTGGCCCCAAGGTGACCCCATGGGCCCCAAAGCAATACGAAGGGCTGGTGTTGCCTGGCAAAGGCTTCCAGCCTATCCCTCAAGAGGCCAAAGGTCAAAGGGGAGATGCTGGGAGACCCTGGTGGGGACTGTACTCATTGACACAATCGAATTGTTGAATAAAAATTGATTCAGTAAGCCGTCACTCCATAATTTCCAGAGTGGGCTGGGGTGGGGGGCTCGAAGGTTACCAGCATGAGCTGGTAGAGGTGGTGCTCAGCTGAACCCCTTCCCCTCGGCATCACACACCTGCCCATCCCGAGGTTGTGGCAGGCCGACCTGAAGGAGCCTAGAGCAGAGTCCAATACAGATACAAATGTTTATTCTACATAAAAATGTCACAAAATGGGCAGCTGGTTGTACCAAGACCTTTGGTGAGGGGAGGGGCTGCTGTGGAAGAAGGCAACACGGACAGTGGTCAGGGCAGGAGTGAAGCCGAGGGAGGGCCTGGCAGGCGGGCCACCCACCGCGTGCGTACACATGCGCACTCCTTGCCTGTCAAGGGGGAAGGGGCTGGGGGCCAGGGCAGCCATTTCTGGCTGGAAAAAAGCCACAGGATTGGGGAGGAGGGGTCCCCCGGGCTGCCTCCAGAATACTGACGCCACAGGGCACACGCTGGGACGGCGAGGACGAGTGACTGCAGGCCCAACGCGACCACCGGGCTTCCCAGCACAACGGCAGACACCACTGTGCCACACATGCATCGTGGCTCCAGGGCCTGAGCCCCCCTGCCAGGGTCAGTGGCTGGCCGGCTCTTCCCAAGCCACCTGGGTTGGGGCCAGGGGGTATGCTCGAGGCTTTGCCCAGAGGCGGGGGAGGGGGTTAGGTAGGACCCTGGTGGAAGCCATGGTACCACAGCCTCCCGGCAATGGTCAGCTATCAAAGGCTCAGAGCTGGGCTATCCCTCCCCCAACCTGAAAAGCAGCACCTTATGGCCAGCTTGTCCCTCCCCTCCAAGGACTCCGCTTGGGGGAGGGGGCCAGGGGAACAGCTGGAGCGGCCAGAGGACAGGGGAGCTGAGCATGGCAGTTAGAGGCAAGACTGGTCTCTAGAGAGAGCCCCAGGGCCCACAGAGGGCAGGCCCTGTCGCCCTGACCCTGTCCCCAGCCTGGTTGCCCCTGCCTCTTCTGTACAGACACAGTCACAAGATCATGCACACGACATGGCTTGGGGCAGGGCAGAAGGCCGGCCCCAGCAGGGGGGTGCAGGTGCTCTGAGCCAGAGATGGGTGGGGTGGGGGCAGGCGACCTGGCCAGGTGCGGCAGCTGGGAGGCTCCTGGTGGACTGTTGGCAGGACGTGGCAGTGGGTAGTTTCTATCCAAAGATGCCCCCAAAGGTGGAGGCAATGACGATGCCTAGGACCACGCAGCAGACGATGATCATGATCTTCTTCTGCACATGAGATGGGACAGGGGAAGGCTCAGACAGGGCCTGAGAGGAGGCAGCCTAGCACTGTCGAGGGCAGGGGTTACAAGGAACAAGGGAAGCAGAGGTGAAGGCTCTGTTGGGGGCTTGGGGATGAAGGTCCAAAGACATAGTAGGGAGGGCTGGGGTGGGGGTTGGGGGCTTGGGGCCTGGCTGCTAGGGAAGGGTCTACTAACCCGGCGGGCCTTGCTCTGGTACTTGACGGCCTTTTTGGTATCGGACACGGCCCTCTCCACGTAGTCTACCGCGTGTTCCACGTTGTACTCGATCCTGTCAATCATTTCCCCCTGTGGCCGGGGGACCCAGGGCCCGCCTCAGGAGCAGGTCTCCAGGAAAACACCCTGAGTTGTGGAGAGAGAGGGGGCAGGTGAGTGCAAGGGGATCTTAACGTCTCACCTGTGCCCCTCGGCCCATGCTCTTGGACAGGGCTCCGAGGGCACCACAGGCTCGAAGCATAGCTTCCCTCTCTCCCAACAGGACAGTCACAGGGCAACTGGCCATGCAGGCTCAGCCCCAGGGCTGGGGGCCATGCAGAGACCCCTGTGGGGTGCCAGGCAGAGAAGGGCAGGGGGAGGGCAGGGGCAGGTGGGCTGTAGCCACCCTGGCCTAGCCGGAGTTCAGGGTGACTGTGCTGAGCATCCTTCCATCCTCCACGGCAGATGGCCTCTGTACCCACGGTCTGCGACCTTTAGCCTTGGACAAGCCATCTCTTTGCATCCCCCATGACCCTCTCGGGTCCAGTCCAGCCAAGCCTAGCCCAGCCAGCCCAGCATGGGCCAATGCGCCCTGTAGTCTGGTCCCATGCTGCCCCCCAGAGGCCACATGGTGACACTGCTCTACTTCTTGACAAATGCCTGTTCTCTCCAAGTCAGCAGATGGCCACAGTCAACCTACTCACTCAGGTCACATCATCCCCACACTTTATACTCTTCAACCCAGAAGAGAATCCAAAATACTTCTTGTCCCCCACTGCCTGCCCTGTCTACCTCACCAGCCCCTCTCCTCCTTCCAACTCTGCCCTGGCCTCACAGACCAGCCTGGTCCTCAGATAAGCTCTGGTCACTCTGCCTCTTCACTCTTCCTCCAGCCACAGCTCAGATGTCACCTCCTCAGAGACCACCCCATCGGAAGTGGCTGTCGCTGGTCACTCCGTCTGTCCCTGGACCAGCAGCAACAGCATCTCCAACGAGCTACCAACTCTAGACATGAGGACCAAGAAACATAAGCCTTCCCCAGGTGACTCAGGCCCCAGCCAGCTGGAGAACCCCTGCTCTAAGACACTGTCACTTCTGGGACACTTGGCTCTACTAGAGTGCTCCAGGCATAACACTCATCCATCCAAATCATAGAAAAGATGCCTGGGGCCAGGGGGCACCAGAGAAGCGGGCAATGGACAGGGCCTGGGGGAGGGCCACACAGAGCCATGCAGTGCTGGGACCTGGCAGGTGAGCATGCAGGGTTGGGGTGGTCAAGGCAGGTCTGCAGGCAGGCAGGGACTGTCCTGGTGGTCAGTTACCTGCAGACTTGGTCCCTCCCAGGCCGGAGCAGCGTGTGGGGCAAAAGGGGCAGGGCTCAGTGCAGCCTGGGGGGCTGCTGGGGGCCGGGGTGTGGCAGAGTGGGGCCTGGCGCATACCTGGCTCTCCACCAGCATGGCCATGTCCACAAACATGTCATGCAGCTCGCGGATGCTGGTCTCCAGCTTGATGATCTCGCTGTGCCGCGTCTCGATCTCGCTCAGCGCCTGCTTGGAGATGCTGGAGTCCATGATAATCTAGAGGGCGTGGCAGTGGGTTGAGCCCCATGGGGTGGGGGTGGGGACTAGGGCTAGGGAAGGCAGGGGAGAAGCTAGCATGGGCAGGGGCCTGAGCAGAGTCATCCAGCTAAAGGCCACCTCCCCCTTTGCAGCTGGCCCCCAAATTTCCTAAACTGCAAGGTCGGGCTAAGGAGCCCAGGTGGAATCGTGGTGATACACTGGGCTGTGATCTGCAGAGTCAGCAGTTCGAAACCACCAGCCTGCTCCTTGGGAGGAAGACGGGACTTTCTACTCCCGTAAAGACTTAGTCCAGGAAACTCACGGGGACAGTCGTCCCCTGCCCTACAGCGTCCCTATGGCAGTGAGTTGGCTTGAAGGAAGGGCTGATGTTGCTGCCCACCTGTGCTTGCCTCGTCGTGGTACCTGCTTCCACAGGTGACTGGCTGTCCCTATGGACCCGAAGTTTCACCTTCCTCCCACCCTGAAGTCAACTGTCCATGGTCTCCTCTCATCCTGGCCCTCTGTACCCACACTCATGGGCCCAGCAGAGGACGAGGCTCCACCATGCCCTTCAGGCTGGTGGGAGGGGGCAGCAGGGCCATGGTCCAATGAGGAGGGGTCAGAAGGCCTGTGCCAACATGGGTGTGACTGCAGCCTGGTCCCTGCCGCCCTTGGGGCCTCATTGCACACCCCTGCCTCGAGGTGGCAGGTGACTGAACACCGCTGGGCTCGTGGCCAGTGGCGGGTCCAGACTCACCCCCGAGGCAAAGATGGCTGGGTTCCCGCTCTCTAGCATGTCCTCCAGCTCCTCACTGGTGGTGGTCCGGCCAGCTGCAAGTGAGAGTAGGCCACCTGAGCCTGGTGTTCCTTAGTAGAGGCCGGCATCCCAGTCCCTGCCCCATCCCACCGGACCGCCCCCAGCCCCATATGGCCCCACCCCGTGCCTACTGATCTCCAGCTGCCTCTGGATGCGACCCTTGCAGCGCTCGCGATAGTCAGACTGCGTGGCGTTGTACTCGGACATGACCTCCACAAACTTCCGGGACAGTGTGGAGTGCTGGGGGCACGACATGGGGGGTTGTGGTCAGACCCTGCCAGCAGGCAGTTGGGCCCCCGAGGCCCCCCACCCCCGCCCGCCCCCAGGGGTCCCGGCGGCGTGCACCTGTGTCTTCCGGATTCTCAGGTCGGCAGACGAGCGGTTCAGACCCTCCTCCTGTTCGATGCTCTGCTCGATGCCTGTGCCAGCAGAGGGGGAGCTGTGCCACAGCTGTGCTGCCACCACCCCCCTCCAGTGTGTGGTGGGGTCACCCCGGCACACAGGACCCGCTGAGCTCGGTGTGTAGGTGTGGTACACGCCCCTGTGTGTGTGAGCCCCTACAGTGGGCTCAGCCCACCCTGTGCCTCTGGTCACTCTTTGCCCCAACCAGGGGACACTCCCCAAGTTGGGAGGGCCAGGGGTTCCCCCCCCTGCAGAACAGCACACTTGGCCTAGAGGGGGTGCTCAAACAGTGTGGGTAGGCTTCTTGGGGGGACAGGCAGGGTGGCCCGCTCCACAGCCTGGGGCACAAATCCAGCTCAGCCCTGCGCCTGCCCACAGGCTGGTAGGAGAGAACGGGTGGGTGAGGGGGCTTGGAAAAGGGTGTGGAAAATGGGGTGAAAATGTCTCGGAACATCCCCACGCACACATGCTTAGAAGCCCCCTTGTGTGATGGCACCGCCTGGCCTGGGTGGGGGCAGGGGGCTCACAGGAAGTGGGCCTGCAGTGCCCCTGCGACCCCCAACAGGCCAGACTCACTCTTCAACTTGGAACGGACTTTGTTGGCCGTCTTCTTAATGTCCACCATGAGTTCTTCCAGCTCCTCCTTGGTCTCTGGGGGGCGAGGGGTGGGGGAGAGGGGGCAGGGTCGCCACTGGGTTCCCCTACCACCTGGTGCGCAAGCCTCACCCAGGGGTGCACCCCGACTTCCCGAGCTAAGGCTCCAGCTGCCCCTCCACCCTGGGCCAGAGCCCACCCCCGCAGCAGCAGCCTCACCCCTCCCTCCCTTGCTGGCTCCCCCACCCGCAGTAACAGATGGGTCTGACGTTAAGGCAGGAATAATTTTGGAGCAGCTGGGGATGCTGGAGTGGGCCAGGGGCACACTTGACACTTGCCTGAGGTGGGGGGTAGGGGGGTGCGGGTTCACCTAGCCAGTTCACCTGGTGGCTTGGAAGGTTGAGTATCTCAACAGATTTGGAGGTGGGGCAGGTGCCTCCCCTGAGCCCACATTCCCAGGGTCAGAGAACCCCAAGCCCTCTGAGTGCCGCTGTCCTAGGGTCCCCCCATTGCTGCCCCTGCCCCCCTCCTCGGGTGCCTAGCTCTGGAGGCTGGCGGCCCAGTGCCCAGTGGCTGGAAGGGGGCGGGGACACCTGGCCTTGATGGGAGCTGAAGGGGGCAAGGGTGAGGGCACCAGGTTTCTGGTCCTTATTCCAGATGGTACCATCGCCCTCAAACAAGCTGGGGAGCTCCGGGCCTGCCCCATCCCTCCCTGGCTGGCAAAGCAGGGCGAGCTGGCTGTTCCTCAGGGACAGGCAGAGCCCTGCCCCCCTCCCCCTTGCCCTCCCCTCTCCTCCCCTTCCAGGCCAGGGCCTGGGGCGAGCTCCTGGCCATCCTCACGCCAACTCCAGGCCTGCTCGCCTCTCGGGTGGTTGGCCCCCTTAAGGGGTGGGGGGACAGTGAAGATGGGGCCCCCTTCCAAGTGGAATGTTTGCGGGGGGTTGGGGGGCTCCAAGGAGCGGAGGAGGGTGCCTCATTTGAAGGAACAAAGGGAAACTCGGTTACCAGCTGCTCCGATGCCGCAGCCTCTTTTGCTGGTACCCAAAATAGCCCAGCCCGACGGCAGCCCCCAGAGGAGGCAGAGCCAGCCTTGGCCCGGGAGAGTCCCCCTCTCTACCACTCCCTGCCACCCGCCTGTCAGTCAGCTCTGCCTCTGCCCTAGAGGCCCCCAAGGGTCACCCCACCGCTCAGGGAGACCACAAGACTCCCCGTGGCAGTGACCCTCTGCGGAGCGAGTCCTGACTGCCCAGCTCTGGGAAAGTGACGCTGACCGGCCCCTTCACTGGACACCCCAGGGGAGAAGTGTGAAGCAGGCCAAGAGAGCCCCCCTCCCTGCTCTGGATGCTCCAGCCCCCACCTGACGCCCCCTCTGAGGCACAGCCCACAGGGACACACTAGGCCGCGGCTGGCTGTCCCCCACCCAGCCCCGGGGAGTGGCAGTCCTCACACCTGCACTCTGACCCCTGCCTCAGGCAGGCCCTCTCCTGCTCACCCTTCCCAGGACCTGGTACTGGGCTCCAGGGGGGACCTTAGTCATCACCTGAGAGCCTGGAAAGACTCATTCTGAATTCCTGAGACCCCCAGGGGCCTAGGGGTCAGGCAGTCATGGAGGAGACAGGGTTAGAGACGAGGATCAAACCCCACATTGAGCTCTGGCCTAGCAAGGAACAGCACTGGTGGGGAGGGGGAGGGGGAGCGGGGTCCCAGGTCCTCCCCTAGAACACCTATGCGATCCCCATCGGGCCCCACACACTAACCCAAACCAAACCCACCGCGGTCGGTCCGATTCCAAGTCACAGCGACCCTGCCCCACAGGACAGAGCGGAGTTCCCAGACTGTAAGTCTTTATAGGAACAGACAGCCTCATCCGGCCTGTCCTCCCCTCACTCCCCCCCCCTCTACCCCCCGCCCCGCAAGTGGCTGAAAACCAAGCTCACGGCTATTGAGTACTCACAGTGACCCTACAGGGCAGGGTAGAACTGCCCCTGTGGGTTCCTGAGACCGTAACTGTTTCCGGGAGTAGAAAGCCCGTCATTCTCTGCCCAGTGGCTATCAGGTTTGAACCGCTGAGCTTTTAGTTCGCAGCCTAGCACTTAGCCCGAGGCACCACCAGAGATCCTTCCCCATAGAGCGGTGCCTTTTCAGAGAGCTGGAGAGGCAGGAACCTGACAGGGGGGTGGGAGGTGGCTGAGCCTCCCAGGGGCCAGTTTCTGTCTCACTGGGATTAAGGGTGAGCTGCCCGGCTCCCTGCCCCCACGGTGCTGTCAGCCTGGCCCTGGTTGGTGTGGTCATCAACATCTCAACAGGAATGGTGACAGCCAGGCCAGGAGGACCTGTCTGGGGGCAAAGTGGAACCCAGACACACCCCAGTGCCCTGGATACCCTGCACGTGCCCAGAGCCCTGAGATTGCCCAGCTCTGGGGTGCCAAGGTGGCCAGGTGCCAGGGCTGCAGGCTCCTTCCGGAAGCTCTGCTTGCCTAGCTGGCCGGCCCTCCCACAGCACTGACGCCTCAGAGCCGCCATCTGCTCCCCGGGGAGGCGAGGGAGAGGGAGGGCCGGGTGGAGAGGCCTCCAGTGATGGTGACACTGCCAGCCTCCTGGGTCTCCCTCCCTCCTCCCAGATTGCAGCTGGCCCAGGGCTGGAGAGAAGCCGTTGGCCGGCCCCACCCCTGCCTAAGTACCCCCCAGTGGCCCTGGGAGCTGGGCTTTTCCCCTGCCCCCACTTACTCTCATCGGGGTTAGGGGAGGCCAGGATAGCGCTGTGCTTCCGCTTCACCTCCTCCACGTTCTCCGAGATCTTGTCGATGAAGCCCCGGATCTCCTCCACCTGGGGGGCGGGGAGCGCACAGCCAGCCGTCAGGAGGGGCACTGGGAGAGGCCAAGCTGCAGGGGAGGCTGCCCCCATGCACCCTCTGGGAGGCAGGGGAGGTGCAGAGAGCGGGGAATTCCGATCCTCTGAGCTCAGTGTCCAAAGATAAAAACGGAAAATCAACCCCTGCCGACTCACAGCGACCCTGCAGGACAGGGTAGAACTGCCCCGGTGCGTGTCCGAGAGGGTCCCTGGGACGGGAGTAGAACGCCTCATCTTTCTCTGGAGATGTGGAGAGACAACTAGCGGTTTCGAACTGCTGACCCTGTGGTTAGCGGTCCAATGTGTAACCCATTCCACCACCGGGGGGCTCTTGGAGCTGGGTCTCTTTGCCCTCAAAGTGGGCTCAGTCCTCTGTACTCACCCCCTGGGCTGCTGAGCCTGGGGTCCACTTGTTATCAGAGACCTGACCTGAGCCTGGCTCACAGGTGGCCAGTGTGGGGGGTGGCCTGGGCTGGGCTGGCTCCCACCTGTTCGAAAAACTCGTCCATGAAGCGGTCTCGGTCCACGGGGACGGTGACATCATCGTCATCATCGCTGTCCTTGGCCTGCACAGGGGGGTGGGCATGTGAGTGGACCTCTGGGGCCTGCTACACCGGAGCAGAGGCACAGTGACATGGGGTGTGGGCACACGCAGGCAGGATGCAGCTCCAGACCCCAACCCTTCCCCGCTCCTGCAGCCTCCGGCAGGGCCCGGCCAGGCCAACCGTGCCCCAGCTCCCGGCTCCCGGCCTCCACCCGAGGAGCTTCTTCTGCCCCCTAGCCTGGGACGCCTTCCCCCGACCGACCGCTGCCTCTGCCCCACAGGACCAGGGAGTCTCCTATCGGAGCTCAACACCCCTCACTCATTCCAGGGTGAACCTGGGGCTCTCTCCGACTGGGCACGCTGACCTGGGGCTTGGTGCCCTTGGCCTGCAGACCGTGAGCCTGGGTGTGTGTCCTGAGCAGGGTCTGTACCTCTAGTCCCCTGCTCCCCCAAGCCTTGCCTGGTGAGCGTTGAGCCAGGCCCCACAGGTCTGAGTAGGATGGAGCCCTTGCTAGGAGGCCTCCATGCCACCACTGTCCACAGGCCTGCGGCCCGCCCCTGCTCAGCCCTCTGTCAGCCTCTGTCCCCGCTCCTGTCCATGCGGGGCTGCTAACCACAAGGCCAGCAGTTCGAATACATGCACTGCTCTGTAGGAGAAAGGGGGCTTTTTACTCCCACAAACCTCTCCAGTCTTGGAAACCCATGAGGGGCAGATGCAGCCCCCCGTCTTATAGGGGTGGGTTTTGTTTTTCTCTCCTGTCAGTCTCCATGCTGGAAGCCGAATCCCCTCCCCTTTAGGCTGAGAGCTGAGCCTGGCGGGCACCAGGGGCCAGGTGGGCGTCGCAGGGCCCAGACACAGGTGTGGCTCCCAGCCCACCTGGCCCAGGAGTACCAGTATCCAAGGCACTCCTCTTGAGCAGGACAGGTAATGACACTTCTGACTGCCCGGTTGGCATTGAGACCCCCACAACAACAACACCACCACCACCACCCGCTCCCTACCGACCTCTCTCTCCTGTCAAGGCTGAGGGCTGAGGGAGGGGAGGGCGAGCAGGTAAGAACTGAGGGGCCACTGCCGTGGACAGCTGAGCGTCTTCCCTCCCAGTCCCTGTCTGCTTGTCTAGGAAATGGGCACAGGGACGCCTGGCTGAGGGGAGGGGAACACGGCATTTTCTGGGTTGCCGGAACCCTGTCAAAGTGGGGGGCAGACAGAGAGCTGTGGAGGCGGGGGGTGGGGGGGCTCTCCTCATCAACAGATCACACCCTTCCTCCCCAGCAGCTAAATAAATCTTCACTCCCACTCCTCACAAGAGCCTGTGCCCCCCACTGCCAAGACACCACCCTGCCCCCAGATACAGGCTCTGGAAGCTGCTTCCCTCTGCAGCTGTGCCAGGACCCTGAGCTGGGTAGAGGGGCACCCTGGAGAAACTGAGGCAGCAAGTGGCCTCAGGAGCCCCTTTCCCCAGGGCTCTACCCCGTGCCCCAACCTGCCGAGTCTTGGTCTCTGCTCTCCTGGTGCCGGGGGGTGGGGGGGTGGGGGGAGAGTTGGGGGACAGTAAAAGGTGGTCTGTCCAGCTCCCTTTCCTCAAGGTCGGGATGTGGCTGGCTCGGGCGAAAGACAAAGATCCCCGAGTCCCGGAAACAGGAGTCACTGCCAGTCCTGACAAGCCTCTTGGGGTCGCCTCAGGCCCCAGCCTGCCCTGCTGTGAAGTGAGGGAGCCAGCTTGCTGAAGGCTGCCCTGGGTGCTTGTGGGATAGGGTGGGCAGGATCTGGGGTACCTTTCATCTTTCTTCCCCAGAGGAACTGGTGAATTTGAACTGCCAACTTCACGGGTACAGCCCAACATCTAAAGCACAACACCATAAAGCACAACACCATCGGGGCTCCTTCCTGGAAAGCAAAGCCAAGCAGCCACCGGTGGAGCATTTCTGAGACGGAATCTTTCTGTGAGCAGACAGCCTCATCTTCCTCCCCGGGGCCAGCTGGTGGGTTTGAACTGCTGACCTGCAAGTAAGCAGCCCAGCGCCTAATTCACAGGACCACCATGGCTCCTTTCAGATCCTTAACTGCAGACACCCTTCACTGCAGCCTCTGTGTTTGCCCACAGGAAGCATACCAGGACAAGTCGAGAAGTATTGCTACAAAATCAGAGAAACCTATTTTCAACAAAACTGTCAGCTAGCCCCAGACCCCAAAGCCAACCAGAGTGCTTCGGGTCTGACCACACAGCCTTGGACAAACCTGCTGTGGATCTGCACAAAAC